CCCCAAAACCCCAAAACCCCAAAACCCCAAAACCCCAAAACCCCAGCCTTGTAAAAAATAATTGAGAGAACAAAACATGGAATCAAGCAATACTATCGCGAAACTAGGTTCGTTTACTTTCTGCTCAAATATCCTCCCTTTCGTCGGCTATGCGGACCAATGCTATTGCTTAATGAGAAGTTTGAACTCAGATTGCTACAAAATGTGGAAAAGATATGAAGTATTCCTGATTTCTGAGATACTTACCAAAAGAAATTTAGACAAAATTTTTGCTTTGTTGAGCATGCAACAAAATAAACTGGAAAATATCTTGAAACTCTTCAGAGTTTTTGTTCACCTCAAAGATTCTGACGACTGTATCAGACTTATTGAACTTATCTCCAAAGTCAAGCATGTTGAGATCTATGGAGCCATCATTGAGAACTACTCTGATACTGGAGACTTGGTTGCAAAGATTCTTGCCTACCATGAAATTTTGCTGAGAAAGGTCAGAATTAAAGACATCAGGATCCCTGTGAGAATTATCAAAGACTTTAAAAGGGAAAGCAATGCATGAGAAGAGAAGCTAGCCCAGATCCTTCCTAGGATTAACCTAGACACTTCAGAGTATACAGGAAAGGACAAGTCTGTGTGCATCACTATAGACAGATATAGCTGGGATAACATCTGTTTAAATATTAAAAACTCGCTTGACTTTTGGAGTAAAGAAGTTATTCAGGCATATTGGTTTAAGACCTGATATCCACGAACCCCACCAGCAATGATCTCAAAAGAGTATTCTCCTGGAAGATACAGATACTTCAATCTCCCTGTCGATCCATTCATGACAGTAGAATGCGATAGGGATAATTACATGAGTATCTCTATGAGCAAATTTACTTATAAATGGGGAGATCTATTCAACACCAATATCACGGAAGGAATTACTCACTTCCAAGTTCAACTCAGAAAGTTTGAGCATATCTATGCAGAGTTTGAATTTCAAAACACGAATTACTACTCAATTTACGAAGATCAGAAAGAAGAAGATAAGACCTCTGAGGAAGAAGACAAGGAAGATCCACAAAACAATGTCTGTGGTAATATCTACATCGTTTGTGTCCGCAAGAAAAGAGTCTATAAGTACAGCTTCTCATATCTGAGAGTAAAAGTGCTTAACTCTGGTAAGACTTATTGATTTTCTAGTTTGATTTCTTCATCATTTCTATAGAACAACCAGTTTCAGACAATTTCTTCAAGTCTTTCAATGGATTCCTACAAGTGAAGCAAATAGATGAGCTGGAAGTTATAGATCTTGCACCTCTAAAATATGATCCAAAAATGGAAAAAGACTTGCTAGATTTCTGGGGATACGATCCTCATGTGATTGAAGATTTCTTCTTTATAGACTGAGCTTATCAGACCGAAGATTTTCTGAGAAAATACCGTGATGAAATGATATACAAAGAAGTATCAATTCAAAAGCCTTCGTTCACAACTACTTTGACTAACATTTATGGTGAGTTTATGAACTAAAAGTTTAGACAAAGATGATGTTGGAGATCTAGATTACAATAAAATCAATATGGTAGTAGACTGCACAAGTCACATCTTCAAAGATAAAATCAGCGTAGATTATTCTATCTTTGACTCGATCATCCTGAAAACAGATACTTTTGATGATAAGCAGAGTTAGTATTTTCCTTGATGTTTAGATATTTCTAAGTGGTTCCCAAAAGCAGCCATAGAGAAGATAGTATCATCAAAGCTATCTGAGCTACATGTATTTCCTTTCATTCATTCATAGATCAATTGAATCTTATCAGAGCATAAGCTGAATCTGCTTGTTGCGTTGATGAAAGAGAATTTGTAAGTTTGTAATTCACCTTCAGACCTAAAACTTCCTCACTGAATAAACTAGTGTTTGGATGTCGTAAAGGAACAAAGTTGGATACTTTAGAAGAGGTTTTACACCAGTTCCCTAGCTTGTCTAACATTTCAATCTATCGTTCTAATTACCCTCTACCAGATTTAGCCAGATATTTTGATTGCAAAGACATAGATGTCATTGGAAAATTCGAAAGAATCACCACTGTTTCACACATCAAAACTTAAAAGGGTCGCTTTAAGAGATTTCATGGATAATTCAATATTGAAATATGGTCTAGGGGTTTTGGGGTTTTGGGGTTTTGGGGTTTTGGGG